ACCTAATCAATTAAAATAAACCAACGAAAGCAACTAGCGAAGGTGTGAAATGCCTCTCCCAAGTTGAACAGCGCAGCAAGGAGCAAGCACTTCTTTTCAACCTATACCGTCCGCGTGAGGCCATCCTTCATCGACGTCGTTGTCACCAAGATGAGACCTGTTCGTTGACAAGAAACAGCGAAAGGAACCAGGGAAAGTGGAAATTGCCCCTCCTAAACCAAACAGTGCCCTCGGCTGCGTTCAAGTGTTTGGCGGTCGTGAGTATTCGCTTCACTGGAATTCGTAAGCACCACATCTTATCGTCTTGAGTTGCCCTATGATTTCGATTGACATTCTTGAATTATGATTCTTCAGGATCTCCAGGAAGCGTGTACTTCAACATCAAACAAAGAAGCGCTTGTCGTTCGGTGTGATAGCGCTCGCTATTCAAAGTGCTACTTCTCAAGTTTCGTGTACTTTTAGAAGCCTAATCTCGATTTTAAATCTCGAACAGGACTCCAAGCACAACAACTGACTTTCATCGGCCAAGCGCCATAACTTCAAAAACTGAATGGCTCTGCAATAGAAAGAACATATGTCGCGAGGCAAGGAAATTCCCTGAGGATACTACCAGAGTACATGTCGTGGAGATAATCCATGACGAAATTGCAGGGCTAAGGCAAAAAGTCTTGCACTTTAGCGCCGTAACCTCACGTCATGCCACTTCTACTTACTTCAATCTCTGCAGAATCCCCTGAAGAAGAACACATAACGAAAACCTTGAAGTAATCCGACTTTGGGTGAAAAAAACTCTTTGACGTCAAGCCCGTGAGACTGACGAGAACGGCATATATTATTCGTGGGAAAGACACCAAAGTATGTTCGACTAAGAAAGAAAAGATTCCCCGAATTGCAACATTAAAGTGGCACTCTCTCAACGCATTGAGCTCGACTCAAGCGGACACTTATATCCCACTTATCTGAAGGATAAAGCTCTCAGCATTAATCTAAAACCTTTCGGAGATGCGCCGTGCCTTCTACTTCTACTCGTAATCGCAGCTTTTTGCATTGGACCCACCCACCATAATAACTTTGGGGCAGCAGATATAACAAGCCAGTCTTTTCATTCTTTTGAAGAAGCTTAATGCTGGAACGATGCCGGAGGAGTGGAATGCTTGATAGCATAGACAGAAGTTCATCTGGGTTCTGCTCCCTTGACCGAACGCACGTAAGCGGCGCCATTTGCCATCACACCATTTGAGCCTTCCACCTACTTAATATCTTACAAAATATAATCAGTTTGGGTAGATAGAATTGATACCGAGTCGCGGCGAGCTTGGCGAAAGAGGCCTTGTAAGCGGATTATGTTAGCATCCCGCTTACAAGGCCTTTTTCGCATCAGGACCCAATCCACTCAACGTGGTAGTGCGGCGGAGCGTCGACTGTCTCCCTGTCTAGTCAACTAGCTAGGAAAGGGTGCGGAAGCGGTGATATACACCCGATCATACTACCATTACAGACACACTGATTTACAGTTCACTAGTTCACTAGTAACCGCAGCCAAGAGGTCCCCAACAGCACCTAAGTTCCCCAATACGACTCTATGTGTAAAAAAGAAACCCCGAAAAAAGACAAAAAAGAAGAAAATGAGAACACACCTCGATTTGTGCCGTTGAAAAAGGCTCATATTCAACAAATGAATAAGATAGTGGATCCACTTCACAATAGCTATGATCTTCGCCTATGCCGATCACAACCTCTTGGTCGGCCGCTACACTGAAAAGTAAGTCACTTTTTAATAGTATTTCGAGCTGTGAATTCCACTGGTTTTTTGAGGGGCACACTTCCAGTTCAATAGGTAGGGTATTTAATGGAGCAGCCTTCACGTGGTCTTTGGAAGCGTCAAGTACAGGCGCTGTTTATCGACGGGGGGGGCATTTTGTATTATAATTGCTTCCCTGGTTCCGGTTTACAAATCTCACTCTGGTAAAACTTGTGAAGCTGGAGCAAGATCGTCTAGCCACCATCCTAAAACGTGTCAACTCGAAAAAAGGGTACCTAGATGGGTTGGCAAATCTATGGAAAGCAGAATGCCCCCTCGTCGATAAACAGCGCCTCAAGTACATTGTATATTTACACTTTGGCCAAATTAGCAGCTTGGCAAGGCCCTTCCGTAAAATAGGTAGAAATGGAAAAAAATTTGTTTCCCGAAATCTCTCAGAAAATTATCAAGTTGTTCGCATTTGTTCCTTCTTCACTCTTCACTATGCCATCCGCTTATTGCATTTTTTTCCTTCCAAGTCATGTGGCGCACCCTTGAGCGTACTCTGGTAAATAAATACGGGTTACTGCCGTATTTTTAGCATCCGTGTGTTCCTGCACGTTTTTTTCCACTTCACACGTACTCCTCCTTCGTCTTTCAGTCAGTCCTTGACTGCATGAGCTGTTTGGTGCGTTCTTTCCACGCATAAATAAATAAATAAATATTTACGACAGCTGGTTGCAGAAAACCTACTGCTGTAACCCCCTTGCCGAAAATCCACAGGTGTAACGCCTTAGTCTCTCTTTTTGCCGAAAACGCAACTGTGGTCGAAGCTAGTAGGCAGCTAGTAGTTAAGGCTGCTACCATTCTTGATGGATGGCAGCCGACTGCCTGGCGGAAGTCATGTCAAATATTTTTTTTCGCAAAGAACGTCCTTCTCTTGCTACAAGAAACTTGTCAATCAAAACTTCGGCGCGGTTGGCTTCATGGGGACAAGCAATCGTACTCTGCGGTGTTTGCGTAAACCACCTCGTAACGTTACAAAGCATCTGTCAAGCTGGATGCTCTCTCGCTGCGAGAGTCCAGAGGTGTTTTCTCATCGCAT